GATGTCTAAGCTTAAAGAGGACCCTGATGTTTCTTTTATATTCTTTTGTAATTAGCCAGGCTACTAAATTCTCTTTTTTCTTGGTTTTACAGAGAACTACCTTGGGTTTTCACATCTGCAGATAATAGCTATGGATCTCCCTGACCACAGGATTTATTTTGCTATCTTCTCTAACCGCACTGGCCAGCACATCAAGAACAATGCTAAGTTAGTGGTGACGGGTGCTGATGATAGAAATCCTTTTCTTGCTTCTGATGTTAATAGAGCCTGATGACTGTTGTTTGAGGGGTACTTTTATCACGTTAAGAAAGTATTTTTATTTCCATTTTATTCAACTAAATTATCAGAAATAGCATGCTACCACTCTTCTGTGTCACTGAGATAATCCTACTTTTTTTAAAGTTTTTATTTATTTATTTGAGAGAGAGAGAATGAGAGACAGCACGAGAGGGAAGAGGGGCAGAGGGAGAAGCAGGCTCCCCGCTGAGCGGGGAGCGGATGTAGGCAGATCCCAGGACACTGGGATCATGACCTGAGCCGAAGGCAGATACTTAACCAACCGAGCCACCCAGGCGCCCCAAGATAATCCTGTTTTGTCTCCCTAGCACCTGGGATGGCTCGCAGCCCAGGCCCTGCACCAGGTAGCAGACCGGGCATAAAGAGGACCATGCTCTCACACAAGGGTCTGCCCGACTTTCAGGCTCGAAGTTCATCCACAGCAAGACACACGCCCTCATTATATAGGCCACTGCTCAGGACTCGATGGCAGGAAACAGGTAGTAAGTTAAATCCATCCTAAAGCACTTACTGATGCCAAGGTTGTTAACATCCTAATTTTGTGTATCTTTGAATTTTTGATTCTTTGGAGCGCAGCATCACATCCTGATGGGAAGCCAGGCATAAAAGGGCACGCTGCACGGTAAACACCCCACTCCCAAGTCCCTGGTCCCACGCGCCAACTGCAGGGAGAGATTTCTATGTGCCTGGGGCCACACCAAAGACGGCACGGCCTCCCCCTTCCTTCTCGTGCATTTCCCGAAACAGCCTACAAGGAAAGCCCCCCATTCAGGATGCTCTCTATGTGGTACCTGCCACTCATGAGTTAGAACCTAGGAAAACTCCTTCCAGTCAATTCGGAGGGAAGGCATCTGTGTTGCCTCTCCTCCCAAATATCAGGGATCTGGGCTAGCTCGTTTGTCACGTGCTTTGACAGAGGAGACCCAAAGATGTGTTGCTCCTACAGCTTGGGAACAGGTGCTGGAGTCTTTACCCCGGCCCTGTCCCAACATCCTTTATAGAGGACTGGCACTTCCACGTCTGGGGAGAAATCCACCTAATACACATTTCTGTTAACTTGTAAATATTAAGAGAAATATCATTGTTGTCTGTTTTCCAACTGGTATGTTCGGTGAGCTGGTTGTTTAGCTAACTGCCCCCTTGGCAAATTTGCTCCGGGCGAATCGGGCCTAGACATGGCGTCCACCTGATGCATATTCAGGATAGGAAAGTTCTTTTCATTTAGTGAACGTGTTTCTTGGTTTCACAATTTCTTCCCCGTTCACTCAGTTCCATCAGTGACTGTGGTAGGTTCCTCGAGCCGAGCCTTCCATTTGGCGTCCCTTTTGGAGGATGGCCAAGACATCAGAAACCCATCGGAGCGATTCCCGAGCTGCTCCGGTTTGTCACACGGCTACCCAGCTCATGGTCTCCGGATGACCGATTTCTCCGCTTGGCCCATGACTGGTTCACGGAGCAGAGAACTTGAGTTAGCCAGCTGCTCTGTCAACCAAGTCTGGTGTCAAGAACCCAGAGTCTTTATTTTTAGGCTGGTGTGAGCCGTGCCCTCTCGCAGCAAAGCTGCCTGTCTGGGCTGGACTTGAACCCACGTCCTGACCTCCTGGCGCTCATCACTCCCACCCTCGTGCCTCGGGACCACACGCCCAGGTCCTGCGGCAGCCCGGGGTCGGGGGGGACACTGCAGAAAAGGTTCCTCACAGTCAGAGGCAGCTTTAGTTTTTGCTGAATATTTAACTAACAGCACAGTGAACAAGAGACGAAACCATCAAAAATGGTAAGAACTGTAAAAGCCCTTCCCTCCCACCTCCCTCCCAGAATGACTCTTTACGTCCCAAACGTATCACCTGCTAGAGCCCTGTCTGCATGGCAAGAACCAGTCACGGTAAGGCCAGTGGGCTTCCCTGCGCTTGGTTCAATGTTCGTGTGCCACAGACTCTCGGCAGCTCGCATTTCCAGGGCCAGGACAGCACTGCACGGCATTGACACCCCCCGGGACAGCCTCCTCCGGTCTGGTAGCGGGTATTTAACAAGCCCACCCCCAAGCACATGGCAGGCCCAGTAGACATGGCAGAGTGGGCCAATCCCCCCACACCCCCGCCTCCCACTTCCATGACTGGCCCTTTCTGAGCAGACAGCATCAGAAGCTGCTGAATGAGGGGGGCACCCTGATCATAACTGGCCCCGGGGGCCTGGCCTGGGCCACAGGCTGCACACAGGACCGGGGGAGTCACGGTCCGCATCCTTGTAGGAGCCTTCCGTCTCCAACAGCATCGAGAGGTCAGCTGGCCCTGTCTCCTCTTGGCAATGTGAAATGACCCAAGGAATATGACAATAAATAGGGAATGACGGATGTCAGAAGGGACTCACCTTCACGCAAGAAACGGATTTCTGCGAGACCGCTTCAGCTGTCTAGATGAAGGCAGAGCAGCCCAGCTCAAGGGTCTCTGGGAAAGAGGCTGCCTCTTGGGACCTGGCCCAGGTGGTCCTCCCTCTGCTTCCTGAGAGCTGGGGTCCCCTCCTTCCCATTTATCTCCGTGTTTCTATATATACTTAAAATAAAAGTCGACAACCGCTGGGTTGCCTGGAGGCAGGGTCTGGTCCATCCCCGGGGAAGGGGGTGCTGTCAAGCGGGAAGGCTAGGCTGCCTTTGCTGGCACGAGCTCGTGGCCCTTGGCAGGGCCTGGCGGCCACGGCCAAGGCAAGCAAGCTGCTGTGGGTAAGAGAGGGCACTGGAGGGTTCACAGGAAGAAGGGAAAGAGGGAGGGGCTTCACCATGTGGAGAAGTGGGCTCATCAGAAGCAGAGGGAGAAGGGGCGGAGTGCCGGGCGGGCAGCTCTGGCCCCCGCTTGGGACCTGGAGGTCGGGTCAGGTCAAGGCCTCCTGTGGGCTCCAGTGTGAGGTCTCGAGGGGGCGCCTTAGGGTCTGGCAGTCCCCACAGGCCAGCAGGGTGGTAGCGGCTTCATGACCAAACCCAGGGGGTGACTAGGAGCCCACGGCAGAAAGCTGGGGGTGGGGCGGGGCAGGGGGCAGCGGGAGGCCTCGGCGGCACCGACCTGGACCCCTCCCCGTTGACACCGGGGTCGCCTGCCAGAACCACGCCTGTCTCTCTTAGCGGCTTGTCCATTGTTATGGACTTTGTTCTGTGTTGGGACCCAGAGCTCCCCTCACCGCTGGTCCTTCTCTGTCTCCCTGGGGGCCCCATCTTTCTCTCTCTGGACTCCCTCCTGCAGGGGTCTCCTCCTGCCTGGTGATGACACACTGGGGTCAGTCGAATAACGCTCCTCGCACGTGAAAACTGTCCTACGTTCCTGGTTCCCGGGACCTGTAACTATGTCACCTCACCTGGCAAAGGGGCCCCTGCAGATGTGATTAAGTTAAGGATGTTGAGGCGGGAGGTCACCCTGGATGATCTGGGCGGGCCCAGTGTCATCACGGGTCCTTACAAGGCGCAGAGGGAGGAGGACGGAAGCGGAGTGAGGGCTGGATGCCAGGCTGGCCGCCCTGGGGACAGAGGCAGGGCCGGGCGCCAGGGAGCGGGGGCGCCTCTGGCAGCTGGGAAAGGCACGGACAGATTCCTCCCCGGAGCTTCGCGAAGGAACTCAGGCCTGCTGACACCTTGATCTGAAGACTTCCGACCTCCAGAACCATGAGAAACGGACGCGTCGTAAGCCGCTGAATTCACGGTGATTATTGCATAGCCGCGCCAGGAAACTCACACAAATACCATCTACTGGTGACAGCTCCACACTCCCTCCTGAGCTCCCGGCAGCACATGTGTGTTCACTTGTCCACGTGACGGCCCACAGGCAACCTAACCGCGACGTGTCTGAACCCTTTCCTGGTTCCCCCAAACCTGCTCCACCTCGCCCTCCCCAGGGGAGGCAGCGACAACCCATCCTCCCAGCTACTCCGGCCACGACCCTGAGTCGCCCGTGGTACCCGCACGACCGGTTGTGGGCAGACTTGCTGGCTCCACCCTCTTTTCTCGGAGCCCACGGCTTGCGGGGCAGAAGCCAGGTCTCACTGTTCCCCTGCCTGACGGCGGCTGGGACTCCGAAGGTCCGAGTCCTATTGAGGACCCTCACAGCTGGCATCCCACTCCTCTCCTACCTCCTCTCTGCTTCCGCCTGGAGTGCCTGCCCCCTCCTCCATGAATCTTTGCTCCGGGGTCTCCTTCTCAATAGATCTACCAGCTGCCACGGACACCAAGAAAGGGTCAGAAAGGAGCACAGTGCCCAGCTAAGCGTTACAAGTGTAGGGGGGTAAATAATGGTGGAGGGGGCTGGCTCCATCCATGACCGCCCATTCAAGAATGGGTGCCATCCAACACGCTGGAAGGACAGACAAAGCCAGCCTTGATCCTAAAACCCCTCCATCCCAACATTCTGGGTGTTTCCCTATTTTATCACCTCTAGCTCGCCATGTCATGGGCAAAGCATCACCTGGCTCAGGAGACAACATGACCCTGAAGCTGGGTCAAGAGGAAATAAAACTATTCAGGGGATACATGAATGCAGGCTGGAAAGTCAGGTCCCCTCACTTTAATTAGGAGGAAGCCGAGCCCAGAAAGCGGGACGTTTCCCAGCGGCCGGCTTCCCATCCGGTGTCCTGCACCCATGCTTCCTGGTGTCTGCCCGCCCGGGGCGCCCCACGAGGCCCCTGCGGAGGACACCGGAGGGGCGGGCTCGGCCCCCCACACTTACTCCAGTCTTTCCTCTTCTTTCCTTCTCAGATCAAAGTCCCGCTGAACCACTTCCCAGACGTGCTTGGCCTCTTCGTCCGTGAGCTTGGACAGATCCAGTTTTCTCCCCATCTCTGCTTGTCAGGATCACACCTGGAAAAGACAAGATCACCGGTGGTCACCCCATAAGCCTGTGGACAGCGCCTAAGCCACAAAGAGGCAAAACAGAATGCACCGAGATCCCGGGCAGTTTGTCTGGACCTGGGCGGAGGGCTTTACTAAGCAGATTTGTGTAGCTGAAATGTGTCAGGTTTATGTGTGAAATTCCTGCACTCCTGGGACTCACACACTGAGCCACGGGGCCGCTGTCCCTCCACTGTGAGATAACGCTGGTGATGTCAGTATCTAGGGGCGCACCACTTTCCCCCGTCCCAGGGTCGTGCTCTGCAGTGGGAACCCCAGAAATGCTGGGGAAATGCTGGAGATGTGCTCCATCCATGGGCTTTTTGCCTTAGAACCCTTGGTGGAAGCAACACCGCCGAAAAGAGGCAACATCCCCCCCAGATTCCTGGTCAAGCTGTGGAGTCGCGGGTGCACGCCCTGGCCTGCTGAGCGGTGGCCCCAGCGTGAGGGGGACCCTGCGAGGTCACTGTGTCTGTGGGGGCCGGGGGGGCGTGCGCATTCTTCCCACGGTGGGGCCAAAGTGCCGGCAGATGAGGGAGGGGCTACCAAGCCCGTGGGCAGCACCGTCAGCGGGAGCTCGGTTTACCCAAGGGAGGTTGGCTGTGGGAGCTCTGGAGCCCGGGCGCACATTGGTCGCCCCGATGCCCAGGCCTCACCCTCCTCCAAGATCCTGATGTCATACAACTGCTTAACACAGTGGCACTGTGTGACGCCCCGTTTCTAGGTAACCTGCTGGCCAGGAAGACAGACTTCAGGTGATTTTATGCCCTGTTTGTAGACATTACACCGGATCCCAGTCCATGTTAAAAGGACAGAGAAAGGAAAATCCCAATGCCAAAAGCCAAGATAAGCAGAACCTTAGAACCCTGCATGCTATTCAGTTTGCCTCGTATGGGGCGCCTGGGTGGCTCAGTCGGTGAAGCGTCTGCCTTCAGCTCAGGTCACGATCCTGGGGTCCTGGGATCAAGCCCCGTGTCTGGATCCCTGCTCAGCGGGGGGCCTGCTTCTCCCTCTGCCTCTGCTGCTCCCCCTGCTTGTGCTCTCTCGCTCTCTCTCTCAAATAAATAAAATCTTAAAAACAAAACAAGTGTGCCTCATGGACCAGCAGCGTTTCCTGGGAGCTTGTTAGAAATGCAGATTCTCAGGCCCTGCCCCAGACCTCCTGATTCAGAATTCATATTTCAACGAGATTCCCATAGGGTCGTGTTCACACTGGGGTAGGCCGATGTCGCCGGTCCCAGGACCCCTCTGAGCAGCAAAGCTCTAGTGAAGCAGGACAGGGACAGAGAAGGGGTTGGCTGAGCAGAGAATGAGGATCACAGAGAAGGTACACGGGCCTCACAGATGCCGAGGCTGCCGTTACTCTGGGTACAACATTGAGGCATCACCACATGAGGGAGGTCTTTGCCCGGGGATTCGAGCACACGGGGTTGGGGGTGCTGCCCAGAGGGGACCACCCTGCTCACCCCACCATGCCCATCCTTTGAACATTTCTTTGCCCCTTCTGGTGTGACTGCTGTGGTCACATCCGTCCCTGTCAAGCTCCAGGAGGGACAGAGACTTTGTGTTTTTCCTGGTACATAGCAGGTACTGTTCCGTGCTCCCAGTGCTCTGGTCCCCTACAAGGCTGCACACGGGAGCCCCTCGGCCCGAGGACAAGGCGGCTACACCCACGCCAGCTCTCCTCTGGGCACCAAGGCTCAGGGGAAGATGCGGTTTGGGTGACAGTTGTGCCGTGGGCAAGAGAGTTTGAGAACCACTGGGTGACTTCAACAAGTCTTCACGGAGGACTGAAATCCGTTTCTCAGGAACGTCAGAGCAGGGGTCCCATCTGTCTGTGCTCCCTGGGAATTCCTCAAGCCCACGAAAGACTTGATTTTGCTTCTGAGTTCTGGGGAGCATCTCTCTTCCAGTTCTGCTGACCATTCAAGCGTTCGTCACGGAGATGTCAACAAAACTTGCTCTGGGCCGGGGATGGACTCTGATTTGTTTCACAAGGGGTCAATTATGACAAGTGACCTTTTCAGGGCGGTATCCACATACCATCTACAATGAAAATTTCCTCCGAGGTCCAGTGGCCCTCGACGAAAGTATTCCCTGACTTCTGCCTTAAATCGGTGAAAAATAATTTCTTAATATTTTTTGCACCAAACCCTCAGTATCTCCCCCTTCAAGCACGATGCTGACCGTGAACGATGCATTCCGAAGTTGCCTCAATGGGCCAGAGTCATTCAAACTATTTTCATTGACAGCTGAATTTAGATTTTGGACAAGAAAGTGTTAAAACCAAATTCACTGTTGCTGTTCTCCTAGAATACATGATTTCTGGTTTTTAAAAATTGGAAGAAAAAGTTCTTTTTTGATGAATGACTGGGGTTTGTTCATTTTTCTTAAACCATTTTTGAAAAAAAAAAAATGTATCCTAAGAAGCACATTCATTGAGGTTCTCTTTTCAGAGCAGATGAAAGAGCTGTGAGCATCAGCTGACTAGTTAGCACCATCTCCTCTCCAAAGGGACACAATTCCAGGATTCCTTTAAGAATCTTAGATGGTGAGGGGTGGGCGTGAGAGAAGCCAAACAAAAGGAAACTAGTATTCTCTTTTTACCATGATAGCCTAGTGGCGGGTAAGCGATGGATGGGAACGCTGCTAGCCATCAGAACCGCCCCCCGAGGCTGAGAACATGCGTGTGTCTCCCCCCCCCACCCCCCAGGGTTCCCTTCCAGACTGTTCCTTCTCTTGGAAGCTTCTTGCTCATAAGGAGGGCTTCTTGGTTTCCCAGCTTGGACAGCAAAGACCACCAAGGCCCCGGGGACCAGATGCATGCTGGACCTGGAGGGTCTGGGCACCTCTGGCGAGGGGGTGCCTGCCAGGAGGGGGTGAGCCCCTCAGAAATAGGCTGAGATGTAAACAGGGGAGACCAGCAGGCCGAGGGCAGCAGGCGGCGGCCCCACTTGCTTCTACAGAAACTGGCTCCATGGCTTAGCTCCCTCTTGGAAGTTCTGATCATGATGCTGGGTTATTACGGAAAGTGAACCTTGTTCGCTATGCTCTGTTTAATAAAGCCAGAACTGACATGATCTCGATGGTGAAAAAGATGCATCTGACACAGCCAAACCAAGCAGTTCAACGTCACCTGAAAATTTTACGCTAGTGTTTATGTTTAGCTCCGACCCAACTTCGGGGGTAGAGGGAGAGGAAGGAAGGAAGGAAGAGGGATTCCGAAGGTCAGAGTCGCCCGTAGGAGGCTGTGCCATGCTGCGGGGTGGGGGGTGGCGAGGCTCCCAGCACAGCCAGGGGTTGAGAGACAATGGCCCAAGACCCAGGTCTTTATCTACTGTGACCGAATCTTCCCACTTAGTGAATTAAGGACATGAAGATGCTTTTAGGGCTTTTTGAAAACTATCTTTGAAAAGTAACCTTAAATTGAATGGAGAATACTTTTGACTTGACCAAAAGTCACTGGCATCTTGGGGAGGCTTTGCTGGGCACCCCCTCTGGCTTGCCTCGGGCTGGTACGCTGATGGGGGCCCGTGTGCCAGGTACAGCCACACCGTGGGACCCACATGGGCTCATGGAGTGGACAGCCCTTCAGCCAATTATCAGTCTCCCATCACTACACACTGTGCTTGCTCCCCGAGACCCCGATCCGCCCCTGGAACCCCTCCACCCTCGACAGTCACGGGAGAGCATGCTTCTGTCCCTGCCCCCGCCTGGGGGAACCTCCCAGTTCGTGTTGGGGGGAGGGCTGTCTCCACCAGGCTCCAAGTCATGAGGTTCCTGTATGAAATGCTTTCAATTTCGCCCGTTCCACTGCTCAGATTTAATCACATTTTTAATCTCCGAGACGGTTAGCCCTCCCTGATTGTTTCATAGCTGTAATGGAGAAAAGCAAGGATGACATGGAGATTAACGAGTTGCAAAGACAGTGGAACGGGTTTTATAAAATGGATCTCCCAGATGCACAACACTGAATTTCGATGGTGTGTTGTGTTTATCTGTTAAAGAACTGAGTTCACAGTCTGGTCAAGTTCAGGTGAAGTGTGGGCAGTGGCTCCTCCTACATGACACTTGGCTCGACCCACCTCTTGGGTCAGCTGCCCTCCGAGCCTTGGAACAGTGGTGATTACAAGTGGTCACCCGCCTGAGCAAATAAAACTGGGAAGCAAGTCAAAGTTTCTCATGAAATGCCCAACTCACAAAGGAGGCAGGAATGCTCTCTGACTCAGAGTCGAGGCTGATAGGTGCTCTTGCTGATAGAGGCGCGGGCACGTTCCTGGGGGAAGGCGGATGTGCCACCTGTGGGTTGCTCTGTAACCCTGGTGGCTGTTTCTCGAACACCACCCTCTGCGCTGGCCGGTGTGGCTATTTCTGTGGCCAAGGCTTGCTGCTCATTAGGAGCAACCAAAGCCCCAGCCCTTGTCAGTGGCAAAATGAGAGCATTTCCACCCAGAAGCTTCCCCGGACCCCTGCTCGAGGTGCCCCAGGCTCTAGCAGCAACGGCACTGGGTGTGCACTCTGTAGCTTGCCCCCACCTCCCGCCCATTCTCTCTGCTCTCTCAGGTCTCAGGGCGGTTGCTGGTGATGCTCATCTACACACGGACATAGTTTCTGCATGTGCAGCTAAGGCCTCAGCCCCAGGGTCCACAGCAAGAGCGGGTCCTGGGGTGAGGCTGCAGGACGGGGACAGGGCCAAGAGTCAGGAGCTGGCGTCCCATCCCGGTTCAGGCAGCAGCTGGCCCTGTGACCTAGGACAGCTTCCCCGCCTGTCTGGGTCTCAGCTTTCCCATCTGTGTCCCGGACAGGGTTGGGCTCCGTGAGCTCTCCAGCCCTCTCCAGCCCTGCATGATGCCGGGGTGTTGGAATGAAAGGGGAGGCTACAGGACGGGGTGGAGGGGCTCTTCCTCCAGAGGCTGCTTCTCAAACAAACAAGACAGTCAGCCCCAGAA